TCTGTCTGTCTGTCTGTCTAGCCAAGGTGGTACAGTGGTTAGAGTGCAGTTACTGCCAGCTACTTCAGCTGACTGCTAGCTGCAGTTCGGCAGTTCAAATCTCACCGACTCAAGGTTGACTCATCCTTCCATCCTTCTGAGGTGGGTAAAAATGAGGACCCAGATTGTTGGGGGCAATATATGCTGACTCTTTAAACCGCTTAGAGAGGGCTGTAAAGCACTGTGAAGCGGTATATAAATCTAAGTACTATTGCTATATCTTGGGGGAGAGTAATAATGAATTACTTTGACCCTGTGGTCAAGAGGATGACACAGACACGTCCATGAATGGCAGGAAACTGTTCCACAGTGGGAGAGACAGGAGATGGTGGGCTCATTCTGCTCTAAGTGTTTAATTTTGAAAACACAAGCAAGGTCAGAACAGATTGAACAGATATCGGCCTTCCCAGGTAGACCAGATAGAAAACAAGGTGAGCTAATTTGACTTTATTGTGAGGCTACATATATAGTAGTGATCCCCAACCTTTGCGGCTTGGCCGCCCAATGGGAGAGAGGGGGAGAGGGGAACCAACCTGTGTAAATTGTGCATTAGTGGTGGGTTCCTACCGGTTCAGCCTAACCGGTAGTGGTTTGATGGCCTGGGTCACTGGAACAGGCAGCAACCCAGGCCTGCCATGCCCCCAAATTGGCCATCTTGTTTTTTGCTTCTGCACATGTGCAGAACAATTTTTATTGCACATGCGCATGCAGCGTGTATTAAGCGCGGGCACGTGAAGAGCCCACGAGCGAACTGGCAGTAGTGACTGCTGGAACCCACCCCTGTTGTGCATGTGTGTGTTGGCCCACTGCTCATGCAAATCAAGCTGCACACTGCGCACTGGACCACACCTTATGCAAGTCAAGCGGCACATGCATGTGCACCAGCGAGACACTTGTGCAGCCCAGTTCTGAACAGGCGACAGCCCGGGAGTGGGCTGCGGCCTGGGATTTGGGGACCCCTGTCCTAGAGTGTCCAAATCTGCCATTATCTCTTACAGCGTGAGAAGTTAAGGGGTTTCCTTTTGGACTTCCTTTTTGTGCCCATTGTGCAGCTCCAGGCTGTGCCATCTCTTATCCAATCATTCCCTAGGCAGCATCTCTCCCCACCTCACCCCCAGTCTCCCAAGATCATTCCCACATGCCATTTACACCGGGAGATCACCAGAATATCTCAGGCCTCGCACAAGCGTGCTAGTGGTTCCTGACTCTAGGGGGCGGTGCTCATCTCTGTTTCCAAGCCGAAGAGCCAGCGCTGTCCGAAGACGTCTCCGTGGTCATGTGGCCGGCATGACTAAATACCAAAGGCACACGGAACGCTGTTAGCTTCCCACCAAAGGTGGTTTCTATTTTTCTATTTGCATTTTTACATGCTTTCGAACTGCTAGGTTGGCAGAAGCTGGGACAAGTAACGGGAGCTTACTCCGTTATGCGGCGCTAGGGATTCGAACCGCCGAACTGCTGACCTTTCTGATCGACAAGCTCAGCGTCTTAGCCACTGAGCCACTGCGTCCCTTGCATCACCTTATGCAGAGCCACTATTTTATTACAATGCAATTTCCTGCAGATTTAATTTATTAATTAAGTCATCCTGAGCAACTACGATTTCTTTAATGGAATACAGTCAACAAATGCATTACTGAATTGAGTTCAATGAATACAAATACATTGATGCGCAGCAGTCATGAGAATACATACTTTTGCCAGCACCACATTAAACTGCTCATCTGTCAGAGGTAAAATGAATGTTTCAATCACTCTTCTAAATTCACCCTTCGTGATCTTCAGTGTCTGATCGATATCAATAATCTGGAATGCTTTTTTGATTTCATCTTCTTTTGCAGTTATTTTCTGAAGCAAAATCTGCTCAATAACATCGGATGACAGCGTGGAATCAGGGACAGAATTGACAGAAACAGCTGCAAAAGACAGTATGAGCTATGAAGCCTTCTTAAAAATAGATACAAATTGAATATAAAGTTTAATGATACAGAATGGAATGCAAACCTTTCCAAAGTGAATCTTTTCTTTACAAGTAGCCCTCAATTTATGGCCACAACGAGAGCTGGACTTTTGGCAGTAAGTTGTTTTGGTCATGACCCAATTCAATTTTACATCCATTTTATGATGATTAATGGAATCATATTGTTATGCAAATGGTCATTTTTTTTTTGCCATTTTCTGCCAGTGACCGTGGAACACTGCAACCAGTTGTAAATGAAAACTGGTGCTCAAACACTTGAAATGTGATCGTATGACCAGTAGGGGGCAGTGGTAACTTTGGGGACAGCTCCTAAATAGTTTTTTTTTTTTGAAGTCCATTGTAACTTTGAAGACCAGTAGTAATTCAAAGATTACTTGTTTGCAGGAATATAAAGTAACCTATTGCAAACAAATGCACAGAGTTTATTTATAAATGAAGAGTTAATCTTCATTTTGAGATGAAGGCAAAGCAAGTGATGCCACTGGTATCTTCCTTCACTCACTACTTTTGGCTATCTTTTGCCTAGGGGTGAGCTTTTGAAAACCGAAGCTTGTACAATGTTTTGTGCCTGTTGGAAGTTAAAACCCACCCTTCTCCTAGAGAAATGAAATACTTTAGGAAACATTAAAAAGGCAGAATATTTCCCCTAAAAAGATGTGGGAAGTTATCATCCAGCCCTCTCCCAGAAAAATGAAATATCCTAAGAAATATTGAAAAGGCAGAATATTTCTCTGGATGTGAAAAGAAAGAAACACGTTTAAAAGACAGAATAGTTGCCTGTAGCTTCCTGCCC